AGAAAAACCGCCTAATCTTTTAATAGTCTCTCCGCCTCTCACACGCCTCCCCATGTGTCGTCCCAATGGAGCCGAGATTTAATGACTGTCCCCCCGCAGGGACGACGTGTGGGGAGGCGTGTGAGAGGCGGAGAGACTATTAAAAGATTAGGCGGTTTTTCTTTCATGTAGGACTGCCATATTTAGTCCCCAGGATTTGTAAAGCCTGGCTCAACTCGTTGTGAATGCGATCTATGATTGTGCTTACTAAAAGTCTAGTTCACACTTTCTACTTCATTGGGACATTGCACAATTTGTGCATTATATTTTTATTGAAGATTCCTCAAAAAAGCTCAAGTGGGGAACTGCAATAAGCATCATGGCAAGAAAAGCAATGGCTCAATTTTCACTTCAAGGTTGGTCATTTGTAAAACCTATTGTACCCAATGATCAAATCCAGTATATTCGGGGTAAAACCAGATGAGGCTAGTCAACTTTATGGTTACTTTGGGGTCATAGGAAATGATTAGCAATTGTGATTCTTAAAACACTGCAAGAATGCCAAATCTATGATGCCTTCATCTTGATGGCTATGGTACAATTTGCATCTTATCATATCATAAAGCAACTGCTACAGCATTCTAAGGGAATATGAAATAGAAAGCTCTTACAAGCCAAAATGTAAATGAATCTATGTTAACTAAAAAAACTAAAATGTAAATTTTGCAGAATGTTATGAAATGTATTTTTTACTAGGGATTTTAGTTTTGTTGGTTTACTGTTCGTCTGAGGAAGTAGAAATATCACATCCTGCATGAATCCATTTTTTCTGAAAGCTTGTGCCTAAACCTTGAGTGGGTGTGTAAGGGGTTTTATAGAATGTTATGTTGTCTATTCCCTTTCTTATGGGAGACATACAGTGGTCACACATCCCATCATAAAGTGCTGTTGTTGTAGGTTTCTTATTAGGTGTACTTGGGGTGGAAAAGCTGGGCTGTGCTTTCCGTTTTGGTGAAACTAATGGAGATTTCATGCTGGTAGTTTGATGGGGCAATCTGGCAACCTCTCTTGTTTTCTGGGCACAAGGCCTTCTTAGAAAATCATTTTTCAATGGGGAACTGATGGACGGAATATCGAGTACATCTGTCTCTGAACTTTCTTCAATAGGACGGGCTAGTTCTAAATTTGACTTGTCATCTTTTGCCAAAGCTGTTTCCATACTCTCTGCAACACTGAAAAGTTCTGAGTCATTCATCACTGAATTTTCAGAAGCTGTTGGAGTCTGGTCTTCTAGTTGTGGTGTACTATTTACATCTGTTTCCTTTCTTCCTTCTGCTTTGTTTTGTGTAATTCCCCCTTTGGTTAAACTGTCTTCCTTCTCTTTGTCTGGAATAAGGAATTCATCACCAGTCATGACATTTTCAAAGAAAGTCTCACTCCACTCCGACCAACTTTGGCTCTCATTGCTGACTTTTGTATTGGAAGAAACTTGCACATTATCAGATCTGGGTATAGTAGACCTTGATGAATGCACTTCTGCCTCATTGAAAGACGTTGCTGAAGCAATTTGGTTATTACCTGTTATGTTAGAAACTGGAAGGTCAGGAATGTCTTGCAATGGTTTCTCTTGACAACGATTGCCATCAGAAGAAAGATGGTTAATCATGCCAGTTGTATGATTAAATCTTATCAAACCACTGTCGTCAAAGTATACCGATGATTCCAAAGCATCTTCTTCAGAGGAGTCTACAGCTTGAGCGTATTCAAAATCTAAAGATTCTTCTTTCTTACTGATGCTTGGAAGTGCTGGGTTGATAGTCTGCAAATAACAATTTAAAAACTTTGTATATTCTACAGTATGCTAATCAGAACAAGATATGTACAAAGTTCATAGATCCTAATTAATCTATAACTTCTAAAAAATCAAAATACATAGTTTACATTATGGGAAATGCATACATTGTAATGTATCCTTGACACTATAATGGGCTGAATCAGCTGCCCAACTTTCAAATTTTCTAAAACAAGATGCTAAGCCCCAGTCCCTAACCTAAAATAGAAAGGGGGAGGGGCTCAGTGAGTTATCCTAAATTTTCTTATTGTGTAAATAAATATATTGTGCCCTCTCAACTCATTTACAGCCAGGACCTGTCTGTGATAATGGAAAATCAAATAAGTTTTATCTAAGACCCCATTCCTATACCTAGATCAATCTAGCAGGATCTACCCATCTCTGACGGGTTTCTCGCTAAATTACAATTAGCTTAAGCAGCTCTATTATTTGGCATGCCTACTGAAGCTGTCAGGGGTACCCGACATCTAATTTGCTTAAACTGAATGCAATTTAGCAAGAATCCCTCAAAGATGGGTTGATCCTGCTAGATATGGGAATGGGGTCTAAAATCCATGTCCTATGCACCAGAAGAGACTTACTTCATCAGGCTTAGCTACTGCATGAGGAACAGCAGGTTTCAGTGATGGGCCATGTATTGTCCTTTTCTTCTTCAACTCTCCAATGAGCTTGGTCAGCCTCTCATACAGACTTGTGTTCCTCTTCCTTGCCGCTGTTCCCACTGCGGCCTTAAGCTGGGATTTCTCGGACAGTATGATCACCTGCTTCCTGCCCCGTGTCACTGCCGTGTACACGTGCTTCCAGTTCTGGCCGTAGGCTTTGCCCACCACATAGGTGACAGTCTCCGATTCTGAACCCTGCAAGGTCATACAGCAAGCCAATTTTTATCCTTACATTCTCATTACAACTTGTTATCTAATCCAATTCTACTGTTAGCTTTAATTGTCTTCATTATATTTTTTTATCTTGAGCTTCTTTTAGTAAAGCAATATCAAAACTACAAAGTCTTCAATAAGATATTTTAACTAGAGGATCAGAGAGGCGATACCGCCTCCGAATATTGTACCACCAGCTGGAGCAAGCGCATTCGTATAGATATTCACCTATGCACTTTACAGTTAACACCCTCTTCTTCCTCATAACACACACATCCTCTACCTGATAGGTGTGAATAGTCCGTGCCCAGGCATGTCTCAGCTTACACTGACGCATCACCTCCCTGTAGCAAACTTTTATGATACGCCGATGGTCTGGATCAGGATCTCGGTCATCCAGGACCAGGAATCTTCGTTTGTTGTTGAATGTTTCCACAGTGATATCCTTCAATATGAAGAACATGCAGTGCATTAGTGTGTTCATATCCTGGCGAGTGATCTGGGGACCAATTTCACAAGAAGACTAAAGTTAATTTTTGGACTAAAAAATTAGCTGACTTATTAAGCAGCTTTTTAAAAGAGTATAAGGTCCCTTTATTTCTATTTTATCTCTCTCTCTTTTTTTTTTTCTTTTTTTTGGGGGGGGGGGGGGGGGTTTCTACCCAAAACTTTTGATGTAACAGTTTTTGACAAAGTTATTATTCCTACAGTTATACAGTCAGCTATCCAGTTTTAACAGTTAAAACAAAGTCTCTAAACTTTTGTGAAACAGGTCCCAGTTGGAAAATATGAAAATAACTATGAACTCATTGTTTATCCATATAACACAGAAATATCTAGAGCATCTGGTTTAAAATCATATTGTCATCAAAATAAAGTTGATCACAGTCCTGTGTCAATTATAAACTACTTTTAAAGTATTAAGTCAGCTGCCTTATTTTCAATGTTAGTAAAACTTATGGCATATTGCATTTCAGAATGAATTTTTTTTTTCAAATAAATTGAAAATCTTTCTCCTTGCTTAAAGCCTGCTCCCAACACACTTCAACGGTAAATGATGAAAATAAATGTAAATCAGTATTCAAAACTCACATCTTTAATAAAAAACACCTCCCCGTTGCACAGCCTAGGCATAAGCTCTTCGTCCTCAGTTTCTGAGTCATTTTCCTGGGAAACAGCTGCACCTGCATTTGTTTCATTCACTGTTTCATCAAAAGTACTTCCACTAGGCCTGGCACTGCATTCCCCAGCTGCATTTTTCCTCCTTTTGGATCTCCTTTGTACTTTTTCTTTTTGGAAGTGATTTATGACACTTCCATTCTTTCTGCAGCATACTTTGTCTCCTGGCTGGAAGTTGAATCTGCCTTTTGGATCCTTGATACTATGACCAACATAATGGAGGCAGCAGATCTCATTGATGCAGTCACAATCTTTACTGAAATTACAATAGTGCAGTTTAAGTAAACAAGTCCAGTGCTTATGCCTTTATCTTTATGCCTTTATCTTTATCAAATATTTTCAGGCTTTTAACTTTCCACATATTAATCTATTTAAGTGCTAATATTATAAAAATTTAACATGTTAATATTGCACATGACTAAGAACTATTAAATGTATTTTGTTTTTATAGAAATAGACCAAAAGAAATTCATATCCTTTCTGTCATTCTTATTAATTCTTTTATCATCATCAAGTACTTCATTATTGATAACTGTTGTTTCCTCCTTTCCTAAGTCTATTTGATATCTTTTTATAACTATGCTTGTTACCAGAAGAGAGCAGCATCTGCATGTCTTACTTTCTAAATGCTACAAACTGGGAGTTTTCTACAGTTCCTATGCACGGATCCTGGCCACTTAACAAACTCCTTACTGCACCACCAGTGCCTGGAATATAAATCATTTACTGATGTTAGTTTCTAATTGCACACACATGTAATCAATTAGTTAATTTTTTCCCTAATACTTTTAACTAATTCTTTCCTTTGCAAAAATGAAATCACAAGGAGATTGAAGAGAAAAAAAATTAACAGCAGTGTATATTTCAGATTTAAAGAATAACTGAAGAATACGTTTCAACTATAACACTGATGAATAAAAAACCTACCTGGTCCATCATCATTTTCTGGTATTGTGACCTCAAAGAACTTATCCTCTTTGTTAAACAGTGGGACCTCCAACTTAGATATTCTTTCTGCATTCTCAACTATTGCTTTGGATTCACTCCTGTGGTTCTGTTTTAACAAAATGCTGCATCCACTATCATGTAAAGAATCATACAAATCAGACAGAAAGTTCCCGGGGTCAATAGAAGGCAACTGATGCACATCCCCAAGCACAACCAACTTTTTGAGATCTGCATGTTGAAGTAGAAGTTGAAACATATTGTTGAAAAGACAGACAGAAACCAAGCTGGACTCATCCACTACCACTGCTTTGACATGCTTGAACTTCCATTCAGGATCTTCTTCATTTGAATTTTTTACTTTTTTGAGGTGCATCCTCCAGCTCCAGAGCACCTGGTGCAAAGTGAAGGAGGGCAGGTGAGAACGCCGGCCAAGAATATTGGCTGCCTTGCCAGTGGGAGCAGTTAGCAGCACTGTAATGTTTGTTTTCACCTTTTGTTTTTCTCCAAATTCTTGATTCTCTGGCATATCCATGGCTCTGCTGAATTCCAATTCTGCATCATTTATCATATCTTTCTCTTCATCAAATGGTGTCTTTCCTTCTCTCTCAAATCCCTGGTCTTCAGTTTTGTCTAGTTTTTGTGCATGTCTAAACACAGAGCTGACAACAGTTGTCTTCCCACAGCCACCTTTACCTGACAAAACAGTTACGGCATTCTGACTGATGACCTGTGCAGCAAGCTTCTGATCCTCATCCTGAGCTATTTGCTGAAACTCAGGCCTAAAATTAAAATATTTACTGGATAATGTACCAAGTAAGCCCATTTCTTATGTGTGCTATAAATACAGTGATATGGGCACTTCTTGTTAACCATTTTGTGGAAATACTTGCCCTATTTACACAATAAAACTAATAAATGATATCTTTGCAAAGAAAGAATAAACACAAGTGAAAATCTTCAACATCAAAAAAAGTATTTGGCACAAAAAGTGAAAATAAAACCGAAACAATTGTATAAACCATTCTCCTGAAAGAAGAAATTTTGATAAGACTGAAACATAAAACTAAAGATAAATAAGTAAGCTTCATGTTGAGCTTTAACTTCAATTCCATCTTTATCTTTAGGCCATTCTCGGTTTACGCACTCACACCATGTACTACTATTACTTGACAGCTGTGATACCTATTATCAAATATTACCTGTCAAAATCATAATTCCTAAACTGCTCTGGTATCTACATCAAATATTACCTGTCAAAATCATAAACTGCTCTGGTATCTACATCAAATATTACCTGTCAAAATCATAAACTGCTCTGGTATCTACATCAAATATTACCTGTCAAAATCAATGTCAAAGGTCCATGGCTCACATGTCAGCATGGTACCTATCCCTTGCTTGATTTCCTCCTCTGCTTTCCACAAGTACCTCAAATAGACTCTGCCATTTTCTCGTACTATTATGTAATTATCCACCAGAAACTGGAATGCTTTGCGGTAGTTGGTCACTTTATGGTCATCCAACTTTTTCTGAGTAATAGAGTTTTCATACAGGAAGGTATGTCCCTTTCCTCGGCTCTCTTTCTTTAACATGTCATAAATGTACAAGGCATCTTGATGAAGAGGACTCAGTTTATCAAAGATTCCGCATGCCTTATATGATTGGAGAGTAGCTTCACAGCCAACCACACTGAACTTGTACCTCAAGACCTTGAAAATGTTTAAAGAAACAATATAATATAATAATAATATAATAATATAATGTTTTTTCTTTCATGGAACAAACTTTACACTTACGAAATATGTAAATGCATTGGTCTGTAACTAAAAATTAGTGAAATAAACCTACTGGACTGAATCCAAAAACCCATGGCTCCTTTGTAAGTGCTTTATTAAATTCCTGACAAATCGTATTTTGAAATCTTCTTTTTCCGTCTTTATCACCATCTTGGAGAAAATGCAGAAAATGTCTTGGAAGCAACTGTGGAATCCATCTGAAGAAGTCTTGTAAATTCTGTGTAAGGTATTTATATACAGTTCCACCACTCTCTGAAGATAAATATCCAATAATGAGATTAAGGACACCAACTAATAAAAACAGTAAGGAACTGACAGCACAATTGTCTGATTTTATTTGTATGCTGACAGCAGCAAGAGAAAAGAGAAAATGAACCTACATTTTGTAACCTGTAGATTTTCTCTCATTGTATAAGCTCACCGTTTTATAGACAGTTTTACCTAAAATTTATGAGATGAGTGTTTGCCTACCAGAGCTCTGCAAGTGAGAGATTATATTCTCGGCCATCCCACTTCTCTCATCATTTGATGGAATGGCTAACTTAAACCTTTCAAGGAGTTCTAGCATGTTTTGAAATGAGACTACCTCTCCCCATGACCTAAAACAAATTGTCCAAGATAACATATTAGACCAAAATAATGTTCTAATCCATGACACCAAACAAGTGATGAAAATTTCAATAAATTGTAATATGTTTTTTGTACAATATTGACAATGAACATTAAAGTCCATTAAAGTTATAATTATAAGCCATCATATATTAAAAACTTAAACACTGCAATATGTAAGTAAAAACATAACAAAAAAACATTATGAGATATAAATTCAAAGTAATAGTATAACATTTAGTCAAAGTGAATAATATATGCTAATTACTTTATTTGCTCAAAAAAAGCATCCACATGCTGTCTGTCAGCACCAGTCATGGTGTTGGTGAGAAAAAGATACACTAAGTTCTGTGTCTTCACACCTGGATCATCTCTCAGTCTGTACTCAGGATTACCTTGAAAACAACATCAAAGCCAATATCATCACATATTCTCCAATAACTTAGTTGTGGCCTTAAGACTTGGAACAGCTTTGAGCATAATCTACAAAATCTTCCCATACTACAACTTTGTTCTGTTTGGTTTATATACCACCACTTTGTTTCTTAGAGAATTATTCAGCCTTCGAGCATTGATACATTTACAGGTGCATCTTACCTGCCATAAAACGTAAACCCTTCCTTCTTATTGTTTTCAAACGCACAGTTGCAGCCCACCAAGGATCTGTCATCAAGAATTTGCCACATATATTGATTTCTTTTCCACCATTGAAAACTTTGAATAAAACTGAAATTGAGATTGAGTTGCACATGTATATGAGTGTTGTAAAAAAAGTTCCCTGCAAACAAAATGTCATGCACATACATACATACCCTAATGCCAAAGTAAAAATTTCAACACTGGGTATCAAAATTTTGATGATTTCACATGAATCAGCTGCTAGGCCACAAATAAAGGTAAATTGTGCATTCTATATTTTCAAAGACAGCTGGACATTTTATAATTTTTTTCAATGACTGCTTGGCTTGTGGGAACATCCGTGGGCAGCCTTCCTCAGAAAGAAATTTGAAGTTGTGTGTTTCCTCATTTTCTCATTTTGGCCACATGGGTGCTAAAAGTTCTGCATGACATAGTGTGGATCTGTGTCTGTATCTGTCCATGTACGTCTAGAGACACCAATACTGGTATGAAGTAGACGGATAGAAGAGAGCGCATGGGGAACTTAGTCAAATAGTAGTCCTGATCTAAAGCTTTCAACAGTTTCAGCGTTTACTTGTTGGTCACTGAGTCCATTCCAATCGGAAACTGTTCTGACGAAGAAAGAGTTTTTTCTGACGAGTGTTTTACAATGTTGTAAGCGAAAGCAGCGACTGTTATTAGTACTATTCACAATGTTTTCAGAGTCAAAGTCAATGAAAGATTTAGCCCTTATACGATGTTTCTTAGAGACTGGTACGAAGTAAGTGTCGGGGGGTATCGCTGGAACTAACCCCTCAACCACCTTGAATAGAAAAGTTAGCCGCAGTTCCTTCCTCCTGTGCTGCAGTAGTGGTATCTCTAGAGATTTCAGCATGGGGGTCAGCACGCTGTGCCGAGGGTTCGCTGTGCCGAGGGTTCGCTGTGCCGACAAAACCGGAAAATTGGTCTAAAATCGGCTAAGTTTTTCCGGAGCCCCAAAATCAAAGGTTCGCTATGCCGAAGGTTCGCTGTGCCGAAAGGATCTGGTTCGCTGTGCCGAAAGGGTCGCTGCGCCGAGGGTTCGCTGCGCCGAAAAAGTCGGCTACCCATCACCCATTGTGCTTGTTATGTAACGTGACGAGCAGTGGCCTTTTTTTTTAAATAAACGAGTTGAAAAAGTTCTCTTCTTCCATCCGTACCATTTGAATTTGTTAAAACTGCGCATTGAAAGTTTATCCTTATGGACATAAACATCTTAAATCGCTTTAAATAATCAGTTCTGTAAGTTAATTTATTAATGGCTATCTAACTCTACGATGGCTTCGGCATAGCGAGCCGTCGACGCAGCGAACCTTTCGGCACAAAATAAAAACAATCGGCATATCGAACCCTCGGCAAAGCGAACCTTCGGCTCAGCGAACCTTCGGCACAGCGAACCTTCGGCATAGCGAACCTTCGGCATAGCGAAGCGCACCCTCAGCATGGAGGTGACACTACCTGGGGATTGAGACTTGTAATCCCCAGTGATGAACCGTGCAGCTTTTCTTTGAAGTTTTTCCATTTTATCAATGTCTGTTTTTAAATAAGGGTCCCATATGATAGCACCATATTCTAGAGTGGAACGGACAAGAGCTATGTAGGCAGATTTCCGTGTGATAACTGGACTATGGTATAAATTTCTTCTAATCAGTCTGTCCGGAGATTCCGAGCTGCGCGTGCACATTGACTGAAGCGACGGCCATTTCCGCACTACTTTCAGCAAAATCGAGTGAAAATGGACGACTTTTGATCTCTTCTTGTTTTCATGTGTATTTTTGTCAACTGTTGATGTGATTAAACGATATGTATATAAAAGGAAGCGGGAATGTCTAGGGATTCGGAATTTTAAGGTTAGTTGTCATAAAAAATAGATTTAGAACTGTAAAATGGGAGATTTATCCACGCGGGTGATTGCAAATGGAGCCCCGTTTCAGGTGTCCGCAATTTTCTATTTAAAGATTTCTGTAAGAATTTGAAATCTCACAATTTTTTAAAAACTCAANGTTCAATAGTAACTATGGACCTATCTCTGCCAGTTTTGGAGATAAAAGGGAAGCAGAATTTGCAAAGTTCAGTTCATGGTGAAAAGAAGGTCAAAGGTCAATTTCAAGGTCACATTTAGATTGCCAGTATATGACTTCCCATTCAAGTTCAATAGTAACTATGGACCTATCTCTGCCAGTTTTGGAGATAAAAGGTAACCAAAATTTGCAAAGTTTAGTTCATGGTGAAAAGTAGGTCAAAGGTCAATTTCAAGGTAACATTTCAGTCTGTCCGGAGATTCCGAGCTGCGGGTGCACATTGACTGAAGCGACGGCCATTTCCGCACTACTTTCAGCAAAATCGAGTGAAAATGGTCAACTGTTGATCTCTTCTTGTTTTCATGTGTATTATTGTCAACTGTTGATGTGATTAAACAATATGTATATAAAAGGAAGCGGGAATGTCTAGAGATTCGGAATTTTAAGGTAAGTTGTCATAAAAAATAGATTTAGAACTGTAAAATGGGAGATTTATCCACGCGGGTGATTGCAAATGGAGCCCTGTTTCAGGTGTCCGCAATTTTCTACTTAAAGATTTCTGTAAGAATATGAAATCTCACAATTTTTTAAAAACTAAATCATGAAAGCCAATTAAGCTGGGTTTCTGGCAGTATATATGTTTTGTAAATTCAGCTTTGTCCATTTTTTTTAGCGCGAGGTGAAATCGACGCCAAGCACTCGCATTTCTGAAGCGTGTCACACTAGTGCGTTTCAACTATTACAAAATTGCTACAATGTTTATTTCACCAGCGTTTTACATATATTCTAAAAGCTAAACAAGTGGGCTTCGTGTTGATATTAAATATATGTTGCGTTCGGGGCCCAACTGGCTGACAAAGTGTTAATAATCCCGTGAAGTCGGTGTAAAAGTTGGCAAAACCGATTATTTCAAGTGCAGTAGGTTACTGTGATTACGTATCGCAGGAAACGCAAAATATTTTCAAACAATTATATCTTGCAGAAAGACGATATCATAAACTTTCAAATGCTATATCATAAGGTATGTCTCCTACAATTTTTACCCATTTTGTGTGGGGAAATAAGTGAATCTCCAAAAAGACGACAAAAATGGAACCCCATTTTCGTCATAATTTATAGCGTCACGTGACCAACCTGAAGCACTGACCCGACTTAGAAATACTACAAGTTTTCTTAAATATTCTGAATATCAGAGCAAACAGATCACAATGAGAATAAAAATACGAACAAGGACTGTACATCAAACATCAGATTTATTCCAAGAGTTATATGCTTCATTCTGAAAACATCAAAAATGGTATAGTTATGATCCACGCCACAAGAAATCCAGTGTGAATTTTGACTAATATAGGAAGATATTGCTAGATCTAGTTATAAATAAAACACAATTTTTTTATTTGGATATATATTTACTGTACAATGAAGTACTGGCCTATGGCCAGGTTGTACTTTTTAAAGCCTGAAAGGGTTTTGATAATTAAAAAAAAAAATCATTCAACACCAGTTTATTCATAAGATCTGCACTTATGCCTTGTTCTCTTATTTTACTGCTCAAGATTTATTTCTATGTACTAGTACTATTTTTGTCTCTTACATATTAAACTATTTAAAATGAGACCCTTCCAATTATAATTTGAAAAATCCCTAATCTATTTAAATTTACATGCAAAATATTAAAATCTGTGTAATAAACAAAACTAAGTAAACTGGTGTCCTTAAAACACTGTTCCTGGGAAATGTTCATTCAGCCTCATGAATATGCACTGAACTTTTTCAAAGTTTGCCTTTTAAATCAAAGCAGTTAACAAGGCTGCAATAAACTCTTTGGCCAACTTGATCCGTCTATTCTGGGGGCAGGAGAAGCACCTGCCCCATCAAGTTATGAATATTACTTTAGCCAAAACTGACATACAAATAAGATCTTCCCCAGCTGAAAATTCTTGAATATAATTTGTAATTAAATACATATCAAAGTAAAATGCATTAAAAATGAAAAAAAAAACTTCAGTATAGTATACAAGTATGTTTCAATTTTTTATTTCCCTAGAATCTTCAATGGTCAGGTCATTTACCTGGATATGACAATCAGAAAACTAAATCAATTTCCAAGTTCAAAATTGTGCTGTTTTCCCTGCCACCCAGGGGTTGATAGATTCCTTGACTAAATGATCATCAAAACTTGGCCCCTTAAAACTGCCGTCAAAAATTTGTTAACTTAAGCATAATATTCCCCAAACTTGACCTCCAGTCAGATTTGATTCTTTTGAGAGCACTGTATCCTCCCTCCACCTGAGAAGTAGACAGGCTGAACAAGGCAATTTCAGTTAGCATTATTGTATGTATTCTAATCTTTGTCTGGTCTCCTAGCTTTGAAACAAATCGGTACACGTCTTTTTTTTTTTTAATTCACTATAAACCTGCCACCTATGTACAATGTACTNTGGGTACTAGTAGTTTTCCCTTTTTACATATAAAATGTTTGCTACATATTATATTAAAATAATATTATAATTATAATCACTTAGTAGATAAATTTCATGTCAGTGTGTGTGAGTGTGGTTTGCTGTGGATAAGTTTTTGACATATTTGACAAAATACTGTGTATTGTATCTATGATTCTGAGTGTATTGTACTGTTTGTATTGAATAAATGGCTAGAAAAACACTCAGTCTGAGTTCATGGAAAGACATTTCCCCTATCTTCCACACCCACACAAACTCTTTGTTTCATCTTATTAAAAACAGCAAAGCTGTAAAATGGACAGACATATAAATGACAAAGCTAATAGAAGCAACATCATTAAAACAGTATTAAAATGACAAAAATCAATTTAATCACAAACATTAAAAAAAAAAAACCACTTCTTTTTAATTTTGATGCAATATAACATAATGCTTAACAACCAAATTTTATAATTATGCATAATTGTTACTGTGAGCATTCAGAAAATGCTACTAAAATAGTTATGTAAAGACTTTATATTATTCATTTAGGCATAATTTTGCTGTAAAAGTATCATTTAAAAACACAAACTATACTGTTGATGGCTCTGAGACAGGTACAACATTCACAGACCAACTTCCAACACTTTCAAGTTTACAGTTTCGCCAGGCTGTGCTCAGATTAAAAGTTATCTGTCCAGCAGGACCAATCTATCTCAGCAGGGATTCTCTCCAAGGCCCAGCTTAATTGTCCCCTCGCAAACTAACATGAACAATAAGACCACAAAAATTTCCCAACTTTAACCAAGTGCTGTAAATTAAAAGTGGGCATGCGATAAACCAAATCAATCCCTCAACCAGTAGAAAAAGCATTGAAAATGCACCTAGTTCTAATTTCTGTTCTTAAACTTGGTATACTTTTCTGTCCCTTAATTTCATAAAAGTCTGTTGTAGTAATGACATCTTATTGTATGACACATTATACTGCTGCAATATTTATTTTTTAATGAGGTTTGATGAAAATGACCAAGGTAGTCTAGACAGAAAAGCAAAAAGTAGGCAAATCAGTCTGTCCGGAGATTCCGAGCTGCGCGTGCACATTGACTGAAGCGACGGCCATTTCCGCACTACTTTCAGCAAAATCGAGTGAAAATGGACGACTTTTGATCTCTTCTTGTTTTCATGTGTATTTTTGTCAACTGTTGATGTGATTAAACGATATGTATATAAAAGGAAGCGGGAATGTCTAGGGATTCGGAATTTTAAGGTTAGTTGTCATAAAAAATAGATTTAGAACTGTAAAATGGGAGATTTATCCACGCGGGTGATTGCAAATGGAGCCCCGTTTCAGGTGTCCGCAATTTTCTATTTAAAGATTTCTGTAAGAATTTGAAATCTCACAATTTTTTAAAAACTAAATCATGAAAGCCAATTAAGCTGGGTTTCTGGCAGTATGTATGTTTTGTAAATTCAGCTTTGTCCATTTTTTTAGCGCGAGGTGAAATCGACGCCAAGCACTCGCATTTCTGAAGCGTGTCACACTAGTGCGTTTCAACTATTACAAAATTGCTACAATGTTTATTTCACCAGCGTTTTACATATATTCTAAAAGCTAAACAAGTGGGCTTCGTGTTGATATTAAATATATGTTGCGTTCGGGTCCCAACTGGCTGACAAAGTGTTAATAATCCCGTGAAGTCGGTGTAAAAGTTGGCAAAACCGATTATTTCAAGTGCAGTAGGTTACTGTGATTATGTATCGCAGGAAACGCAAAATATTTTCAAACAATTATATCTTGCAGAAAGACGATATCATAAACTTTCAAATGATATATCATAAGGTACGTCTCCTACAATTTTTACCCATTTTGTGTAGGGAAATAAGTGAATCTCCAAAACGACGACAAAAATGGAACCCCATTTTCGTCATAATTTATAGCGTCACGTGACCAACCTGAAGCACTGACCCGACTTAGAAAGACTACAAGTTTTCTTAAATATTCTGAATATCAGAGCAAACAGATTACAATGAGAATAAAAATACGAACAAGGACTGTACATCAAACATCGGATTTATTCCAAGAGTTATATGCTTCATTCTGAAAACATCAAAAATGGTATAGTTATGATCCACTCCACAAGAAATCCAGTGTGAATTTTGACTAATATAGACCTACATGTAGGAAGATATTGCTAGATCTAGTTATAAATAAAACACATTTTTTTATTTGGATATATATTTACTGTACAATGAAGTACTGGCCTATGGCCAGGTTGTACTTTTTAAAGCCTGAAAGGGTTTTGATAATAAAAAAAATCATTCAACACCAGTTTATTCATAAGATCTGCACTTATGCCTTGCAATTGTTCTCTTATTTTACTGCTCAAGATTTATTTCTATGTACTAGTACTATTTTTGTCTCTTACATATTAAACTATTTAAAATGAGACCCTTCCAATTATAATTTGAAAAAATCCCTAATCTATTTAAATTTACATGCAAAATATTAAAATCTGTGTAATAAACAAAACTAAGTAAACTCGTGTCCTTAAAACACTGTTCCTGGGAAATGTTCACTCAGCCTCATGAATATGCACTGAACTTTTTCAAAGTTTGCCTTTTAAATCAAAGCAGTTAACAAGGCTGCAATAAACTCTTTGGCCAACTTGATCCGTCTATTCTGGGGGCAGGAGAAGCACCTGCCCCATCAAGTTATGAATATTACTTTAGCCAAAACTGACATACAAATAAGATCTTCCCCAGCTGAAAATTCTTGAATATAATTTGTAATTAAATACATATCAAAGTAAAATGCATTAAAAATGAAAAAAAAAAAAAAAAAAAACTTCAGTAAAGTATACGAGTATGTTTCAATTTTTTATTTCCCTAGAATCTTCAATGGTCAGGTCATTTACCTGGATATGACAATCAGAAAACTAAATCAATTTTCAAGTTCAAAATTGTGCTGTTTTCCCTGCCACCCAGGGGTTGATAGTTTCCTTGACTAAATGATCATCAAAACTTGGCCCCTTAAAACTGCCGTCAAAAATTTGTTAACTTAAGCATAATATTCCCCAAACTTGACCTCCAGTCAGATTTGATTCTTTTGAGAGCACTGTATCCTCCCTCCACCTGAGAAGTAGACAGGCTGAACAAGGCAATTTCAGTTAGCATTATTGTATGTATTCTAATCTTTGTCTGGTCTCCTAGCTTTGAAACAAATCGGTACACGTCTTTTTTTTTAATTCACTATAAACCTGCCACCTATGTACAATGTACTCTTTAAAGGCAGGCCACTCTCAATGGAAGTCTTTTGGGTCAAAGCCCATCCTGTTTAATACTGTACTGGAAGAAAATAATGTTCCAGAACTTGTCTGCTATGAGAAAGGTTTCTAGGGTAAATAATATCCAAGACTCTACAAAACACCATCTATTGTTCAGTCACACCTGCATCAACAGCACCATCACACAAAATTGTGTGGAAATAAATTTTCCCTGGTCTTGACTAGAACACCTCTTCCCTTATTGTCAGCTGATATGAAATTCAGGAATCTGTTAAAAATAATTATAATATAATGATAAAATCATACATGTGGAAACAAATTTATACAAAGCAGATAAAAACTGAAATTTAATGAAAAAT